CTTTTGTTGTGCAGCGTGTGCCATTTTTTGTTGTGGCGTCACACTTGGAGAGAGGGGCTGCTTGGCTTGGGAGTTATACGTTATCGATACACTTTATTGATTTGCTGAGATGAAAGCCTGATGGATGTGTCATTGTCTGCTGTTAGTCTGTAGTGGGAAAAGATGTATAGGACAAAGACAGACAGCTAATATGATGACAAAGACAGGCAGCTGATGCATGGTGGAACCCTTTGCACCTGTGAGTCCTGAATATAAATGAAGGGGGGTGGGGGATCTCATTGTTTTGAGGAATACACATATTGCTAAAATAAGCTTATATGTTATTGTGGTTTGGGTGCCCATGCATTTGTAGTGGGAGGAGAATTTGGTGCAGTGCGAATCCCCTTTGTAATGGTGCAGCAAACCCCCCCTCCCTCTCAATACAGCTCTCTCTCTCTCAGTGTCTGCACGCTGAGGTTGATGTAAAAGCCTTACGTAAGACCATAACACTCACTTGTTCCAGCCCACCAGATGAAAGCTAGTGTTGCTGACAGTGAGAATGGTGTGTGTGTGTGTGTGTGTGTGTGTGTGTGTGTGTGTGTGTGTGTGTGTGTGTGTGTGTGTGTGTGTGTGTGTGTGTGTGTGTGTGTGTGTGTGTGTGTGTGTGTGTGTCAGCTGATCTCATCACTAATCTCCTGCTGCTGCTGGATGTGGACCGTCATCATCATTGTGAGCCATGTTTGTGTCGGCCTGTGCATGTTTGTCTGGGTGCATACATCTGGTAAAGGGGAGGATTAAGCATGTGCAGAACAAAAAAGGTGTTATACAAGACACTGGAAAGACAGAACAAGGGAGGGAGTGAGAAAGAAATGAGGGGGGAAAGTGGGAGAACAAGATTTATAATGCGAGTTGTGTGAGGGTTTGTCTGGCCTTAGTGGTTTTATAGAAATCTTTTATCTAGCTGGTAAATATATATTTTGATGAAAAGCGCCCACAATTGGCAACAACAGCATGATGGTATGCAAAATGCAGTGTAATAGCAACACATGTAATAGCAACACACTCATATATCAGCTACCTGACTCAGTAATGTCAGTTACAGCAATTGTTTGTTTGCTAACATTAGTAAGTATGTGCTAACATTAGCTAGCGTTGGCTAACATTAGCTAGCGTTGGCTAACATTAGCCCCCAGCTATCACACCAGAGCAGAAAAGCTGAAATGGAAAAAGGGTGAATTTATGCTTACAGTATAAGTTTAACTTTTTATTTTTAAAGACTAGGAATGTGCTGTTTCTTCTTAAAGTTCAACCCAGTCTCACGGCATTTCGTGTTATAGTCACAACATTTATTTAATCTATTGATTCGTGTTCACCAACACGATTTTCGCATTTCTTTCGTGTCACACAGAACGATTTTAAAAGTAATGTATTTCTATTGTATTAGAATATTTGTTTGTCTCGCGTCCAGGAGAGAAGTTTAAAAGAAAGAGACTAAATGGCCTAAATCGTCTCTGAAAAGGTTCAAATTGGGTACTTTAATTAAATGGCGTGGTAAATGAAACAGACAAAGGTGATGAAGAGGACGGCTGCAGCTCTGCCTCTCGCTGTGGTTCCGGCGCGAAGTGTCTTGAAGAAGAACAGGGTTGCGTTCGAATACTCCAAAAAAACAGCTCCTAAGTTCTAACCCTATCGTCTATTCCTTGACCTCGGAGTGAAACGTCATGGGGTTAAGGGATAGTGGATAGGAGAATTCAAAAGGATTTAGGAGAAGAGACTGCGGCACTTTAGAGAATCCGACTGCACTTTCACTATCCGACGTGTTTATGATGCGCCAGCAGAGGTCATAAATGTGCGCCTGCTGCTGTGGGGAAACTATGGAAACTACAGTTTTCTATACAGCGGACTACAACATGGATGTTTAATAAGAACGAGGGACTACTGTAAACTCATCTAGAGACTCTGCACCGTGCTCTGATGCTGTTGTTTTATGCTTTATGAACGGGGACAACAGAGAAACATATTCTTCATGACCAAAGTTGGAATTGAAATAAAAAAGGAAAGTGAAACTTATGCTCGTCACCCTCTCCCTCCGGTCCACATTAATACAAATGATCCCAATACATATGATTGTATGAAAAGATCTTAAAATCAATACAAATGTATTTATTATAAACGTTAGTCCTTAACATCTATCACTGTGTATATCACCATTCAAACATCTTTTAAAAGTTGAACAAACCCCACACAGCTCAGTAAAGACTGTGAAATGTTGACTTTATTTGATCATTTCAGTAAAAACTAACGTTCATATTTCTCTTTTTGATTATAATACTGATGAACGTTCAAAACAAAGCACTTTGGCAACTTACCACATACGTTTTAAAATGCTTAATAAGCACCGTAACTTTCATGATATCATTTCTCGTTCATAATCGGTTGTTTCCGTGAACGGCCGACTGTTGTGTGACGGCAAATGCTGCGGCCGCAAGGCATTGTGGGGCAGCATTTTCTCCTCTCCTTTCGGTTAGGGAGGTCCAGTGGTTCCTAGGCTAAAGGAGGTTATAAAGGAAGTTTGAAACCTCCTTTCCTTTTAATTTAGAGAATTCGAACGGCACTTATCATGGCTGCCACTGAGGGACTTCCGGGTCATTTCACTCCGTTAGGAAGGTTCCTAAGCTAAATGGACTATTCGAATGCAACCCAAGTGTCCCCAGAGCTCCGTCACCTCTCCCTATATCTCAGTGGTGACTCCTCCTCATCAATGGCGGGCGGTGACGTAAGGAAGGAACTTCCCTCCTCTTTCTCATTGTCTTAGTTTCTCTGATTAGGTCATCTCTCTCAGAGTGAACCTTAAATGTATGTGTGATCAACAGACGCGTTTAGGGGGTGAGGTTTTGCGTACTGTGTCTGTGTATATCTCACTGTCTTGTAGGGTGAGATGGTTTTGCATACAGTGCCAGAGGGGGTATCAGCTGGCCTCCCAGAATGTTGTTGTAATGCAAATCTGCTTTGATGTCCTCCCATAAAGAGACCCTGTTTCACTCAGAACAGTACGCCCTCCTTTGGAGGGGACGTCATACTTGCAAATATAAAGATCCTTATTGCTTTCAATACGAACATTGTGTTGCTGTACGTTTGTCACCTAACTGATTATTCTCTCTAGACCCCAGCTGATTTTAAAGCTGCTACGACAAAGCTTACTGTGCGTTTGAACTAAATTACGTCATTGAATATTGATTTTAATTTCTAACAGTAGTATGTTTCGTGCCTGCACCACGTCTTTTTGTCCGGTTGGGTCTTGGAAGACCGGAAGCTGTGTGGTTCATAAAAACATTTTCTTACTCAATATCTTACCCTAAGCCTAATCCTAACCCTTTTATTTTAAATTGTATAATGTCGGAGTTTTTTTGCCGTCCGCGAGGAAAAGAAATGGCTCAGAGCCTCAGAATATTGAAATCTGTATTTTTTTAAATATTTTTTTCCTTCTAATTTGTTATTATTTGGTGCAGGCACGAAACATACCAATATAAATACATTGCTTCTAAAATTGTTCTGTGTCAGAATACTGAAATATGTATTTTTTTAAATCTCTTTTTCCTTCTAATTTGTTATTATTTACATTGCTTTGAAATCGTTCTGTGACACGAAAACAATGGGGAAATCGTGTTGGTGAACACGAATCAATAGATACATTTCGTGACTATAACACGAAATGCCGTTAGACTGTGTTGTAAAGTTACAGTCCCATCCTGTCATTATTTTGTCACTACTGTTCTTATTATATATGTATTATAATTGTGCTTCTTACCTAGAATCATTACTCATAATAATATCCCCCTGACGTTCAACAAGCTTTGTATTTCTTTAAATTGAACCCATATCCTTTTATACGCCCTTTGAAATACATACATAAAATCATACTCATAAATAAAGCAAACACAAGATATCATTACATTGTTGGACCACAGGAATCATCAGATTAACTATTTATTCTTTCCTTTTCTCTTCTTTGAAACCAATAAGTGGCGCCTACATACACACCCAACTACGCACACAGTACCCTGCATCACCGATTTCCCTGTAACGTTGCTAATATCGTATACACACCACACACCTAATATCTAATCTAATCAAATAATTACTTTTTCTTTTCATTCATTTGTCTTATTTGAACTGTATTGTCATCCTGTCATTTCACCCAATGTATTAAGTCATGTCTCTATTCATTCAGTGAATAAAGAAAGAAAGAAAAAAGAAAAAGTTACAAAGGCTTTAGTGTGCGAGGTATGAGTGATTATACATGTGGTTAATATGGAAAATGTCATCCTATTTTGCTGTGTTTACCTTTCCAGTATTTATTTTATGCACTGTCTTTGGGTGTCTTAAAAGGCACACAAATATTATTCTTTAAATGTAACTTTATTTAGCTACTCAGTACAGTTTAGCAGTAGATATTGATTGATAGTATACAAGATTATATGAATATAAACCACAAAGACACTGAGCTTCTCAGAAATACTTAATCATCCCTCTATGCAAGGATGTGCTGAATAAAAAATTATGTTGGAGAAAAATGGAGGTATGGAAAGAGTAGAGTGAAGGTCATACTGACATAACAAAAGAATTACATCATGAAGGGTTTCCTTGCCATGACGTGTGTGTGTGTGTGTGTGTGTGTGTGTGTGTGTGTGTGTGTGTGTGTGTGTGTGTGTGTGTGTGTGTGTGTGTGTGTGTGTGTGTGTGTGTGTGTGCGATGGAGCCCTCGGTACCATTCAAAAGCTGTACCCCACATTTCTCACGGCAGCCTCTCTACAGTCGTTCCCATAGTAACACCACTAGGTCAACCAATGAAAAGAGGGGGCTGGGCAGGAAGGAGGATGGGTGAGTGTTTGGGGGGTTGCTGATACAGTGTGTGTGAGACATGATTGAAGTTGAACTGGTGCAGTAAAATATGTATACAGAAAAACACACACACTAACCTACATGTTGAAACCCACATCTACTGTACTCAGAGACACGCATTAATTTAGCACAACCTTTAATGAACCACCACCAGAAGCAAGGAGAAATGCAGTGATTGAGATGTAATCATCGATACAGTGCTCTGACCTTTAGCACACATCCATAACAGGTTAATTTCTGATGGAAAAGTTCACCTCTGCATCCTCATGGGAAGCCCCTCGTCCTCTATCTGATACCACAGTTCCTCTCAGGGCAATGTTGTGCAATGCTTTCACTTATCAATAATTCATCAACAGGACGGATCTGTTTGGCACACATTTCATACATGCATTAAAGTGTGACGCTGCTGAGTGAAGCTGCATCACAGTCACACATTTACAACTGGTTTATACTAGTTCACCAGGAAATGACACATTTTGGACCTTTTGAGCACCAAAAATAAGAATTTGATTATGAGTTTTAAGATGAATGATGACAGGAGTTCCCTGTAAGGGTTTTAAGGTCAGGGGAATTAGATAATGGTCTGATACACAGGACAATGGCTTTGTTTTAGAACTAAATATTGAATTTTCATTTCATTTTAGCTGAAACCCTTGTGAGACACACAACTGCTACATAACCTGACAATCCAAATGAATTCCCTTAGTGAAAATGTGAATGTTATTATAAACAGCTCAACATAATGAACATCATAACAAGTGTGCATGCGCTCCAAAGTGTGTGCTGCACCTTTCATTAAATATATAATGTCAACACATTTCACATAATTGTATTAGCTTAGTTGAAACCAACAATATTAAGTTTAAATAAAAAAATAGGTTCAACTTTATATTATTGATTCAACTAACCTAATACAATTAAGTATATCTGTTGACATAATACATTTAATTAAAGTCAACGATTATGTTTGTTCAGTGTACGTCTTGCATCTGCCCTTCAATAAAAAGTATATCAACGTTTCAAACAGGTTACTCCAGCTCTTTAGGCTGAAGAGATGAATACTTAACTTCTCTCACTGGTGCCGAAACTTCTTTCCTTGGAGGGCGAAAACTGAAACATAGTGTGGGCCACATGGCTAAAGCAAACACTGCTAATATCTCAAGTTTCATTAACTGAGATGCTTTTGTCCATGTGTCACTGCCTCGCCCTTCTTCTCTTACATCACTCGCCACAAACTGCATTCCTTAGAAAAGTGTCCCTCTGCCTGCTCTGCGTTAAAAATGGGCTCAGATTAGGAAAACTATTTAACAATTAGGCATGCTATGAATTCAAAGAGCATTTCAAAATTGGATAAACAACAATTTAAAGGATCATTTTGATTAAACTTGCTCTAGAGACTGAAATGAACCCAATGTTTCAGTTCATCGTGGGGTAATTTTTATTTTTCACTAAGAGTGACTTTGATGTATTTAATCTCAAGTTATATCAAAGTCTCAGTCATCTAAAAGAACATCATAAGTAACTGCGGAAAAACTACACACTTTGAGCAGTGTGCTTTTTAAAATGGCTGTAAGGGTGTTTGCTTATAATTTACTCTGTTGATTCTTCCCATGCTTTCCCTTTGGCTACAGCAGTGTTTCTCATGCAAGCTACTGGATATGATCCAGCACAATTACAAAAGAAGCCTTACAGTACATGAACCCGGAAAATAAATAAATGCACTTCTCTAAAAAAACAAAACTGTAAGTGACACGCAGGAATTTGTAAATTGTTAGTGGGACGAATTGTTCTCTTTTAAGAATACAACTCTGCCTGCTGAGAATAAGGAACAGGGTGTAATAAACAATGCTTGTTTGTGACATTTAGGCTTGCAAGCACAATGTATGTTCACAAGCAAGCTCAGTGGCCACAAATGTCCTCACAGTTGTTTTAAAAATCTTTATAAAAGTTTCCAAAACATTGCTAGAGTTCACAAGACAAAGGCACAATCATCACATGCCATTAATAAAAAGCAGTAAACCCATCTTTCCAATATAAAGATAAATCAATCTGTTCATCCCCACCACTATAAAATATATTTACCCATTTTTGATTTCATCACACTTTCAAGTATTCACAGGATGCTACTACACAGCAAACTGAAGTATAAAAACAATCAAATGTTTGCTACAGTTAAGATAAATGTCTCAGTACAAAATCGTCCATTTAGAAAGTATTGTGTTGAATGATAAATAAAAGACCCTTCACCCGATCATTTGTCAACACATAATAGGTGACAGTGTACATCATTAATATAGGTCAAAATGGTAGTAAATTAAAGTTAAGTTAATCGTTTTTTACTCTTACCGAACAATATCATGATCATTTTATTTACTTAGTATTAGTAATGTATAATGTGGGTTATTTTATCATTACTTTGTGAAAGAGGAAGTATATGATAAACTGTATTTTACCTGATAAAAGACGATAACAATTACATTCTGATACCATTTGTAAACAATAAGATTGCACACATTATAACATCAATACCAAATACTACATATATAAAAAAAGTTATATTGTGTTCAACTCTTCTTAAAAAAACGATTTACTTAGGTTTAATCCACTGTCAATATACCATTTAACAATGCTGGCTATTACCTTCACATTTTTCTATTCAAAGTACGATTGTCATACGCAAATTGTACACACACACACACGCACGCACGCACGCACACACACACACACACACACACACATGATTCAAAAGTCAACAGCATTTCCAGTTTCGCAGGTTCCTCCTTCCTTTAGCTTGGCGGAGCGTCAATATCCACAGTGATAAATGTGTACAGAACATCCTTCACAATCTCCTTGACTGTGTATTTGAGGGTATTAAGCCCATCTTTATCCATGTTTCTAAAAGTTTGGCTCAGTTTACCCGGATTCTTTGGATTAACCTCATTGTGCAAGTCTCTCTGATGTTTGATCATCTTGTACTTTCCCAACACAGAGTCCGGTCGAGAGATGGACATCCCACGGTAGTAAATTCTCTTATAGATGTCATCGTCCTCACCCCCCCAGCCCCAGTAGGTGTTTGGGAAGCCATTAATCTTCAAGTATTGCTTCTTGGACAATGAAGAAACCCCGCCAAAGAACGTGTTGTAGGGTAACCTGAAATTAAATTTGTCCATAGCTACGGCCAAGTGTCGGGGAGTTTCAAAACATCTATAGAGGTTACGGTCATCGATGGGAACCAAATCTATGTCAGAGAAGACAAAGCAATCATAATCATATTCCTTCAGCGCTTCCACATAGCCGGCATTCATCAGTTTAGCCCGGTTGAACACTCCCTCTCCGTCCTGGTTGATAACATACACTGTGTAGTCCAACTGCTGTCGTATCAGTATGGGATGGAGATAAAACAGCCAGTGCTTCAGGTGCTCATGCCGATTTCTGAATGCAATGATGATGGCCACCTACACAAGTGAAATAAGGAAGTTTGCATTAATATAAATGTAGGGAAATCTTATCTTAAAGGTCCCTTATTATACTGTTTTCCATCAATATATTATTATTATAGTTCTCAGATATATACAGAACATGTCTCTGAAGTGTTTGGCTCCAAACACCAAACAGATCATTGCAGCATTACCCATAATCCCCTCTGTTTCGGCCCTGTTTCAAAAGTGCTGATTCTCTGTCTGTTACTTTAGATGAAAATAAGGAGCCCCTCCCCACGCCCCTCTGAGAGAGATTTGGTTAAAAAGAACACAATGGTGCTCTAGGAGGAGATTCAGGTGATACGGTGGGGGGTTAGGCCTACCTTGGTTGGTGATTGGCTAATGGTTACACAAGCCAAAAAATCGTTATGACATCTATGAAGTGGCCAAAATCAGGTTTTTATATATATATATATATATAAAAGAGAGCGAATCTTTTTTCCTAAAACTTTCAGAGTCTCTTTACACAGAGGGGACACATGTTGATGTAGAAAAGACATGCAAAAGTGGATTTTGCATAATAGGTGACCTTTAAACTTATAATTGTCTGTAAAATCAGTCTATGTACATATACGTGCTGCTCGTACATCCTGCTCTACGTGGCAGAAGTTCAGATGTATACGTCGAGCTGGCGGCACCAACTGACATGACAGATGTGTACCAGGGGTTTGATCTGCTTCATTTTGAGTTGCTACACTCATTTTTGCCCCTATGGATTAATACAATACACAATCATGAAACTGTGAAAAGTCCTCAGAAGGGGCAGCTCTTCTTTATTCTCTCATGATGGCTAGCATGCTCATTTAAGGAGACATTTACACAATACTTAACATTTTTTGAGCATTTCATGATTAGATTCTGACCATATCTTACATAATGCAGCTTAATGCAGTGAGTTTGCTACTTGTAAGGAAGCCCATATGTTTATTTTTTTACTTTTGATCTCATTATGATTTTTTGTATTTATTAAAAAAAGAGAAAATACAAATAAAAAAATAAAATAAATAACAGGTAAACAGTTACTTGATTCTAAACAGCTATAGGTCTAGTTAAAGTGACGCTTAAAAATAAACATATTTTAGCACATTAACATAACAAGAAAATACTTGGAATGCCCCAAAATGATAGGCATCACCTTAGTGAAAGTAAGGACATACAAGTTGGTGTTTTAGTCAGAATTCTCACATAAATATGATGTATATTACACACTTCAATTAAGTTTTGGCACCTCTTTTTTTGAAAATAGATTCCAAGTATCTAATAATACAGAAAACTGATCCAATATGTGTTCATTTGTCTCTCCATTTATTCTCATACCTTCTGCAGGGCGATGCAGTCTGGAGGCTTGTATCGTCCTCCCTCCTTCAGAGTGGGACCCATCTCCTTTTTCATATCATCCAAAGATCTTTTGCTATTAAACTCCACCACGAGGGGACCCACAAGATGCGGGGGGGTGTTAGGGCAAGGTTCCAAAGGCTTCCTTGGAGTGGGTGCCATCACTGTCTTTTCTTGGGTGAGATTAAGGGATCCATTCTTTGGTTCGTTGGTCCATTGAGGAACTGTCTTGTTTTCCTTCACTTTATCGTACGATTTTATAAAATGAGTTAAAGTGCTGTCGTTTCTAAAGTATAGAAGCACCATAAAACATGCCAGAGTGAAAAAAGCAAAGAAGCACAGGACTTTAAAGAGTTTTCTCAGCATGTTGCTACCCCTGAAGTTGAGTCCTGTACACTCATCGGCTCTCGAACAGCCCTTTCTTTACACTTTGCAAGTCAAAGGTGTTCCTAACAAAGAGCAGGTTTTATTTACCTGGGAGCAGCTTCCTTGTTCACGTCACCGGATCAGGTTAGCAACAACTCGTCAATAATTAGTCATACTAATTTGTACACACTTGTATGCTCTCACGTTTTTTAAAACAATTGTATGACTTGTTAATTGAAAGTGTATTGCTGTGTTTTCTGTCAACAATATAGTTATATTAGCTCTTGTAATTTGTAGGGCATTATCCTACCTTTAGACCTAATTTATATGAAACACAAACAAAAAACACATATATGTAATAAAACAAGAAGGACTTAATTATTGGCCAATTAAATCATAATTTCTTCTTTCGAGATTAGAGCAATAACTATATATACTTCCTGTAAATTGTCATACAGGGCCCTCTAGTGGTGAGAGAGTGACAATGCTGAGTGTCCTGAGAGTCCTGAGTGTCCAGTGTGAAACTTGACACACTTGAAGTTTACCTACAACTAACAAGTCCTCAAACAAACGTATAAAAGCTCTCACAATGACAGACTTCTTCAGGCAGATCCTCAGAGTAAACAGACGTCCCAGGAAACAAAACGTGTCCAAACTTGCCTCCTGTAGCGCGTAAACTTCTCAGAGTTTCTGTTTGTTGCCTCTGTTCTTGTAGAAAACGGACAGGATGGTCTCCTTTCAATGTAGAACAAGATTTTGTATATTTCCGTCTGCTGTTAATCTGTACCGTCACTGATAAGAATCCTACACGTCAGTTGACTTCCTTTTGTACACAACCCAGTGGCAGGGTCAGTAAGGGGAGTGCCATCAAGATGAGGAAGCTAGTTCAATGTGAATGACAAACAAAAGGGAAGGGTTTCACTTACAATGAACCCACCCATCTTTCTGAAGCAGGAACTATGCCTTTACAGGTGGTGAACAGATGTTTCGTTTTAGCTCTGTATTCATTTATCAAAGGGTAGTTTTATGATGTTTTAATCTCACAATGGTGAGTTGAAAGAAACCACAAGACACTTGTATCAGCTTTCACATTCAAATTTGCAGGTTTTACATAGTTTGTTAGCTGGGTTTTCTAAGTAAAGAGCCGGATGATATGATGGTAATATGGCTTTTGTTTAATATGCCAGAATATGTTTGAAATGTATTACATTTTAATAAAAACAGTAATATAACATGTATATGTTTCTGCTTTTAGGGTGGGAAAATGAAAGCAGCATATCCAGTATGGAAATTCATAACGTTCATGTGACATTAACACCAAAAATTCCCACTGAAAACAAGGAAGCCAGTGTTTAAATCATGTGACCATATCACCCATAACTGATTAACAGAGACCACATTCATTTCAAAGCAGGAACATTTTTCAACTGATAATCTATTAAAAACACACGAAGCACTGCTGTTTGGAGTAGGTTGAATGATTGAGTGTGTGAATGTGGTTAATCCAAAGAGTAGAGAGGACATGTGAGGGAGAGGAAGTGGTTGCCTGGTTCCTTATGTAACTGACTGGCTGAAAAACTATGCAATAACAACACAGTCAAAGTCATTACTGAAACACAATATGGTAACTATGTGCCAGTATCTGTGCCTTTTGATTCCATCAAAATGTAGAGAGCTATTGAGGGAGAATGTACATGCATCAAATAAATCAGGATTTTAAAACTTGCTTTAGAAAACAATGAAATAACATGAGATTAGACCATGTATGGGACATTTATTTTCATCATAAGGATCTAAATCATTAAATGTTATAGAAACATGGTTATTGAAAAGTGAAACAAAGTGTACATTTTGTATTTTTAAACTGTAGCAATAGTGACCCCTGGTGGTATTTTAAAGCATTGCTTCTTAAAACGGAATACTCCAGTAAAAAAGATCTCTTGAGAATAGAATACCATTCATGCCTTCATGTGCCTGCCTGCCTTTGATGGCACATACTGTCCCTGTTACTAAATACAGCTTGAACTAGTTCATAGTGATTGCTGTTTTTTGTTGTTGTCATTTCCTATAATTCTTGATTAAAACAATATATTAATTTTAGTTGTGTTGTTTGGATATGTTGTGTTTGAGTGTTTATAGAATTTTTGGAAATTATTTTTAAACACCTTTTATTTTGATGCTAATGTGGCTCTGGTTGAGTTGTTTGAACGACAATTGGCACCTTGGGTAGGCTTTGTTTAAAGTTGTCTGTCCAAGCTTACACTGTGCCCACTGACCTCTTCTATGTATATTTTTAGTTAAGTCTATATTTTGTGACCAAACAACAAAGGAGAAACACTGGGAGTGTTCGGCTTCAGCGCCATAAAGACACAACTAGTTTGCCCTTTTATATCCTCCAAGGCTAATTGGGGCTAACAATGTATTCCCATGGTACAGCTGCTAATTCTATGTATGTTAGCCACGGCTTTAATCAGTGCAACCGACAAAAAATAAGCAAATGTTCCCACATTCCCTTACAATTTCCCAGGGCTTTAATAGAAATGTTCCATTGTCCCCGGTTCGCCTGTTTAAACCATTTACTTTGGTTCATCATGTTCACCATGGGGACTCTTTTCTGTTTTCATTACTGCTTCAGCTCTGTGATATACATGGATGATATGTTGATGTTGGCACTCGACTCAACTTTAGTTCTCAGGGTTGCAAAATATCGTGAAGTGCCAACCAAGACGTGAATGTTTGCTTAAATCATAATTCTGTCTAGAAGTATTCTAAAAGCAACCATTAAGGCTGATCTTTTAAACTACCAAAAATGATAAAAACACATGGGTACATTTCCAGTCTCAGACATTTTATCAGTAGTCTGTGGTAATAGATGTTGGAAGGATTGTGAGGAGGAACACAATAAGGTGGAATAATGTGCCGTATCTACCGGTAGATGCCAAGTTCACAGTATATTTTATTATAATTATTGCATAAAAGTATTGTATATCACCACTAGAGGGTAGTCATGCATCACCGATAAAAAGAGAGACACACTGTGCAAAAAGGGAAGTTTCTCTTACAGGCACACACACACACACACACCCAACCACGCACGCACGCACGCACGCACGCACGCACGCACACACACACACACACACACACACACACACACACACACACACACACACACACACACACACACACACACACACACACACACACACACACACACACACACACACACACACATTACATGCAACCTCATGTGCATTAATGTGTGTTTCTGCATGTAACTACATGTTTAAATGTAAAGATTCAAAGGCTTTTTTGTCAGATGTAACACATAATAAAGACATAGAAAGAAAAAGGACATTTAATATGCAAGTGACAAAACGGGGCAAGTAAAAATGCATTCAATTGTGTCTCTTTCTGAGAGAATTCTGCTTCCTGTTCTTAACCACATTCTTTGGATAAATATATAAATGTGCTGCTTTTTGCAGAGAAACCTGATCCTGAGGCCTCTGAAGCTGGAATCCAGCTTTCCTGTTTTCTCTTCTGCTTATTCTTGCTGCTTCCACCAACTTCAATTTAAGTACAGGAATGATGCTTATCAATGCATATTTGTAACCAGAGGAGAAGGCCTGTTGGATCCAATCTAAACTGAGGTAGCAACACCGGTAAACCCCTGCTGATGGGGCATCCCTTTGAAAGTGGGCTGGTGTGCTGTTTTTGGCACCACATATTACTTAGAATGCATGCTTGTGGTATCAGAGTGACATTTATGGGAAAACCTTCACAATTTCCTAATTAAGTAGAAGAAAAGAATGTTAAAACAAGTGTTTTCATTTACTCTCTGTTGAGAAGTTTATACAACTGATCCAAGATTTTTCTTATGAATTCTTTGGTTTTGGTACAGAGCATTTTTTAGTATTTCTCTATTGCCATTATGAGTGGGATTTAGTGGATCAGTGCATCATAGTATGATCATTTAAAAAACACAACACCACATACGTGCAGATGCTGTTCATTTCTGCAAATACCAGGATTTTCTCACACTGTCATATGGGACACACTCAATCTATTTGATACGGAAATGATCGTAAAAGCTCTGGGCTTTAGATTCGGTCAAGGGGGCCAAGAATGGAACAACAAGACAAGACACAAGGGATTATCTCACAATATGTATATGCAGCTTTTTCCCCAGATTTCTGTAGCGTAAAATGCCCTCAGAGAATATGCAAAGCTTGCATGATACAGTACAACATACTCCTGCACTCCTGAAAGTATGAATATAATTACATGCATGCATTTAGTGCAGTCATGTAGACAGATGTAGACACAGACACACACACACACACACACACACACACACACACACACACACACACACACACACACACACACACACACACACACACACACACACACACACACACACACACACACACACACACACACACACATTTATACTGAACCACAGCTCTTAAAACAGCCCCAGTTACAGCAAACAGAACTCAGCAGTTTAGTGAAACATGATGCCCAGACCATAAAAGTGTGTTTGTGTTTGTGTGTGTGTGTGTGTGTGTGTGTGTGTGTGTGGTTTTGAGTGGTCTCAGCTGTATGGGACGCACTGCAATGACAGCCAATCAGAGCTAATTCAGAATCAGAGTGGTTTTGACGGCTCCATGGTCTACCCGGGGGAACAAAGCAGCAGTTTGTGTGTGTGTGTATGTGTGTGTGTGTATATGTGTGTGTCTGTGTGTGAGAGTGTGTATGTTTGCACACCTCTCAACCTTACTCTGCACTCCACCTGCTTCTCATTGCTCAAATGGTCTGACAAAATCTGTTTTATGATGTATTCAGCAGTTGTGTTTCAAAGCTTTTATTCCATACTCCCAAAATGGCAGCAGTTTATTACATTTATTTGAAGAGAAAATGATCAAATAAATAAATTAAATGTCTCTTTTTTAGATGCCTTTTAAACCTAAAACATATAACAGAGTTTTTAGCTTTAATGT